GGATCAGGAAAATGCTAATTTTTTTCGCAAACTCCGAATGCAAATTTCTTTTGATAAAATTCCATCATTTGGATTCAACATCACTCTCCATAAGTTTCATCTGGGTCCCATGCTCGAAAGTCGAGATTCAGCATACGGAAAAATCCTGGATGCATGACTGGTAGTGCACGACGAGTATATTGCTGAAATGTTTAATGAAGTGTAATGAAAATTACTTTCACCGGATGCGGTAGCATAAATAAATCAAAAGAAACACAATTTTATAGACAGACTAGACGAAATAATATTCTTCGGAATGTCTTGTCGGGTTTTAAAGTGCTCGTTTTCATTAACTTATATAAACTAAAATATGTCAACTAAATGATCGAATCACCTTTCAGACTGGCTCAGCGGTAAATATATTGGATGCAGTCGCTCATCATTCAGACATACTATCATAGTAAAGGATAATAGAAGCAATAATAGGTATGATAATCTCATCACATGCAGTAATGAGAGGCGTTTTGATCAATGTAAAGAAAACTAACAATGTATAACCTTGATCACATACATGATCGATGTTATTTTGCATATATGTCGATGGCTTTGTTTGAAGCAAAAATAAATGCATATGCCCATAATAATATCGAGATTTGCACTTTGAAATTAAGCTCAAATCAGATTAATGTCAATGATAAAATGGCTAACAAATATATGGGGTTATGTCAATCATGCTAAAAATTACAAAGTCTGATCTAAGAGTTATAAGAACTGATTGTAAACAAGGATTAGATCTTGTTGAGCAAAAACCAAAATGAATTCTGACTGCTCACTTTTTTGTTGTCGACTCTCATCTTTGATGAATCTTTTACTTTCAAATTTTAGACGATTTCTACAATGAACTTTTACTCAACTGGGCATCGAAACATGCATGCCCATATCCTTGTTATTTAGGGTGTGTAGGTGTAAGTCCATCGTGCAGATCATTTCTAAATAAAGTCAGAATTTATTAAAATGATTTCAAATCTATGACAACATTCTTCTACTGAAATTCAGTATTTCAAATAATGTATTTTCAATAGATATTTGTAATCGGTAGAGTACAAAATTTCTATTACTCGTCAATACAGACACATTGTTTTTTGATCGAAATCATATTTAAAGAAATCAAACTATTGTTAAATATTATAAATATTTAGCATTTTGTAAAGAATATGATACTATAAACATCTATATAGATAAAGTCAATAAGAAATCAATGTGCTCCGTCTTGAGCTTTTTCACAAGAGAAGAAGTTCTTATCTCTTGATATCATCACTGTTGATAGACATAAATGTACATTCATTAACACACAAACCAAGCTCATTTTTATTAACACTCAGTTATTTTGTTAACAGTTAGATAAGAAAATACTTGTCTACACTCGAAACTTTAGTTCTTTAAACGGTTAGATAAGTTTTGAAAAAAAGAAGATTGTTAATATAGAGGACTAAGGACAATAATGACAAAAAAAGTCAATATAGATATACGTAAACGACATTTGCTACAGAGCTGGATGAAGTACTCGGGGTTATCGTACACGTACTTGTATTGTACTCGAGGGACTGGTAGCCGTACTCGTTCTTGTATTCGAGACTACAGCACTCGAGATCCTAGATAAGTACGCATCACATCAAAGTGATGTTTGATAAAACTGTAGTTTATGTTTCTTCAGGTTGAAATGAATAGCTTATTTCTTCTTTTCGTTTTATATATATATATATATATATAGATAGATAGATAGATAGATAGATAGATAAATACATAGGCATCACACCATGGTGTAAACAAGAAGCGTACTCATTTTTTTTTGTTAGTATCTTTCACCAGTAATATAGTATGTAATCGGTAACTGATTCGTCTCTGCATGTTTTACAGTGCTTCTTTCATTTCGTATTACATGATTCATTCTCACTGAATAAAATAAATTCCTTGTGATAATCTTACGGTTCAATTAAAATGTGGGTGCTGGTGAAAACAAGACCCACACTTACAATCTTCTTTTGGAAAAAGTGATGAAAGCAGTTTCTTTTGCTTTAAGATGACTCTTTATTCTTCTCTCTCTAGAAACTTGGTCTGAAATACTTTTCAGTGTCGATTGCATCAGATCGTGTTGGAAGAATATTTTTTCAAGGCAGATTTGTAATACGTCTATATAGTACATCTTGTTATAAAAGAACTATAATAACATCTTGAATCGTGGCTGTTGTAAAGTCTTCATCTCAAAACTAATGCTTCATTTCTTATTAAATCTATTAACTAAATTTTGTCTATTGAGATCTTAGGAAACTGATCCTTGTGTACTCATACTTTCTCCACTCTGCTTTGCTACATGATTGAGATGTATTATTGTTAGTGACGGTGTGCAGCATCAACACAATGATTCGACAAAATGACTCTTGTTTAAAGATGAAACTAGTACAAATTTCAGATTCGTCAGTCTACTGATAAACCGAGCATTACTACCTAGTGTGTCTTATTAATTTTTCACCTCTTAGTAAATCATAAAAGATGACTAATGAAGCTTTGTTGAAACTTGCCTATGGCAAATATCACTACCCACAGATGGAATTTTCAAATACAAAAACTAAAGTTTTCAATAATGACTAATATTATAAATACAAGAAAATATAGAAACATCTTGGATTATTATTTTAATGACGCTTTCATTACGAGAAACACAAAAAAATATGAACTTTTGGAGTTTTATCATTATGATTTTAACAGATAGTGGATACTATTACTAAAAAAAACTAGAGCAATGAAAAATACTATATAATAAAAATGATACAAAGAAGAAGAAAATACACAAAACAGAGATGCATGCAGGATGTGTTCTATCGAGGTATGTTCAGATTTCCGAAAAAGGAAATTACAGAAATTTCCGAAACTTTCATCAACTCGATAACTACATAGCAGAGCAAAGAAAAAAATTTTTGGAAATTTTAGAAATTTCCGTAATTTCGGAAATTTTGCTAGGTACAAAATTTCGGAAATTACATGATTTTGTGAAGTACTAAACAATTTAGAACACGAGTGCTTGAAATTTCCGAAACTTCCAAAATTTCCTTTTTCGGAAGTCTGAACACTGCTGATTTTATAAGGATTAAGTTTAGTGAATCCTACGACTTTTGTACGTGATCTAAATGAAAAAGATTTAATGTTAAGTAATTAAATTTAGCATATAAAATCAATCGGCTAATATATCTGCTTGGAAATAATCAACATTTGAGACATGGGAAAAAATTTTTAATAAATTTACTTTGTTATTCTTATTTGAGGATTAGTTGTGAACTTTTATAGTTGGTTTATTGTCTATTATATTGTGTTTTGATCTGTTGATAGAATTCCTGATACTAAATACTATTCAAGTATTCGAAGAAAAGTGATTTATTTTTGAAAGTAAATTATTGTTATACAAGTGATTTATCCAGAGGTGTTCTGAACGACGGATGTTCCATCTTGAAAAATTTTCGTTTTTCTCCAGAAAAGTTTCAGCGTTTCATTCATATTTTTACTCACCATTTCTTACGAAAACTCTAGTTCCCCAATTCTGATGATCTCGAGACAGTCGTGTGTGTCGGTGGAATCAAATGATTGCAGTAAAAAGAAACAGTTGAAAAAAACTGAGATATGTCATTTATTTTGATTAGGAACGATATATATACGACAAGCAACAGTACTGAAAAGTTTAATATATATTTAAATGACTTTCATTTAGAAAAAAAACTAAATAGAAAAAACGTCACTTCTATGAATCTTTTAGACAATGTGAAATATATAAAAATAAAATTTTGTTATGATTCAGTAAGTTGTAAAAAAATCAAACTATTATCGATCATTATATATCTTGAAAAAAAAATTGTACAAAATAAAAATTTACAAATTTTTAACTTGATAAAGACAATAACAAATTAATGTTGTCTGTCCTTTGTTTCTTAATAACTAAAATACGATCTTCGTCTTCATCATTCGTATGATCAGTATTTGTTTCTTGTGTTATTGTCGCAAAATATTCTGCTTGACAAACTGTTGATCTATTTTGTTTAATTAGAAGACTTGTATTTGATGTAAGAATAGTCTGAGAAGATCGTGTTTGATGACGATTAATATTAGCTATTAAGGCTAAATCAAGTTCAAAAGCATTGCCTGTATTTGTCGATTTTGTTGATTGTTGCGAAGAATTAGTCATAGAATCAAATACATTCTCATCAATATACAAGCGAGATTCATCATCATCGTATTCCTGTATATCTTGTTCATCATCACTGATAACCATGAAACTATCATTATCTGTCATAGTAAAGTGAAGAAACGCGCCTGTAAATATTCAAGAATTTATTTCTTTAAAAGATACAAGAATAAATATTTAAAAAAGAAAAAGAAAAACACCGGACAATTTATTCTCGATTAAGTGGACGTACGACACGAAATTTCCAAAATTTTGGATGTGAATATTCTGTTGAATTTTCAATATCATTCGAAAAAAGTACACCTTCATCCAATGTAACATAATAAGAATCACCTTCTGACCAGAGATGGCCTGTTGTACGAAATATAATTTGAGGTGGAGAATTATAATAAAGAATTAAAGGTGATTTTGAACAATCAAGTTCATATTCACTTTTTGCTGTATGTGTATTAAAAAAACGAATGTATGCAGGAAATGTTGGTCTATTAACTGGTGCATTTGCTGAAAAATAAAAATAAAAATAAAATTAAACTACTGAATTAGAATCTATGCAGAACACACTTTTAACAACCCAATAATCGTCATCTCTATCAATAATACCATGAACATGTTTTTCTATTATCCAATGACCATGTATCACAGTACAAATAAATGCTAAGAAAAGAAACATATTCATAGCGCCCATCGTTTCTCAAAGATCAACGAAGTATTAAAAAGAAATAAATGCCTAAAAAATAGTTGATTGAAACGAATTTTTCTATTAAAATATATATATCGATCAAGTTAAATGGTGAGTAAATATTATTTTAATTTTTTTTTTTTCGTTATTTTAATGCAAATATGTTGTTCACTTAATCGAATGCATTTATTATGTAAGCATAAAATACAAAATAATTCGTTGAAACAATTAAGATTTCTATGCACTATAGTTTGTAAAGTATTTAGAAACATTGATCCTAAGAATTTAGTTTTAATTACATAGCAGACTGATTAAAAGTGGAATTATCAAATAAAAAATCTTTTCTTTTTTTGTACGATACACAAATTTAAAAGCTTTTTTTTATTATTTGTTTAAAAAAAACTTCATATTTATTCATCTATTTTTTCAAAAACAACAAACTCAAGTACATCATGAACAAGGGATGGATAATGTTTTTCGAGAAGTTTCCATTGTGCAGATAAAAGAACTTCTCGTGAATGTAATTGAATAAAACGAAGTATAATTTGTTTAAAATTTTTTACTTGTAATTTATAATCATCAGAATGATACTTCGTATATACATCTGTAAGAGCTTGATGAAGACATATTAATAATAAAGCAGCTGTATTAATATTTATATAATGTGCATTACACATATCTTGTAAACAAAGAAGAGTAAGAGCATCAATACCATATTTAATAGCACCTTGAAATATTAAACGAGTTGTACCAAATGAAGTATTAGCTGCTGCGGTTGTTGTTGTGGCTGTTGTTGCTGACGATCGACGACGTTTTTTTTCCGTTAATGGTGATGAACTTTGATTTGATGAACTCAATGATGTATATTGATTTGTATAAAGGAAAAGAAATATTTTCTCAAGAATATGTGATAATGGTGTTTCATCATCTTCAGATAAATTTAACTCAGATTCATTTGATGTAGCAAAATATTGATTAAAATAAATTGAACGTGCTGAAAGAATACTTTTATGTAAATTCCATTGTCGATCTCGACAGCGTATTGTAACATCTGAATGAAGACCAGAACGAAATAAATTTGTAAGAAATGTAAAATTATCTGGTACTTCAGTTGATGCTGTTGTTGTACTAGGACTTGGTAAAGTTGATGCATGATTTGAATTAGGATTAAATCGATCTAATGAACGTAGACGCGATTGTGATGCAAACCGAATTTGTTTATTTTGATATAAACGTGGTGAACGATATAAATTTTCTTGAATATTTGGAAATGTTTTTAATTCATTTGATGATTGAAAACGCATTGGTGAATGAATTGATTGATCAGGTGAAATACGATTTTGATGATTACGAGAAACAATCGGTGGAAACTTATGATTTCCCTATGATACATTAAAACAAAAAAAAAGGTTTAATATAAAAGCTTTGTTTTTTCTTTTGAAGTAGTTTATTACTCTTGGTTCATCCGAAAATGGATCTCCCCATGATGGCATCTGATTGTCACCTGTAGTTGCTATTGTATTTTCACGTGTAACACTATGATGCTCTGGACTTTTAATTTTGTCATTCATTTTAAGTACAGATGATATTCGTTTAGGTTCAGTTCTCATAACAGATGCTGTACGTTGATCTCTAGATGATTTTATTCCATGTGTTGTTGTTCCTTTATTTTGAATATTTCCAGTACTATTTAATGAAATCATTGTTGGTTCGACAACACGTTTTATATTTTTAGGAACACTCGAACGTTGTAATGGTTGTACTATTTGAATTGAAAATAGAAGATAATCAATAGTAAAAAATCGTCCATTAGTTTCATTAAAATCATGTCGATAACTGTAAACATTAGCAGATAATTCATCAAGACTAAAAAATTCCATTGTATAATTATCAGCAAGATCTTCAAATGATTGTGTATAACGTCGAAGAACATTATGCTCATTTTTACATATCATTTCAACTTTACCATAATTTGCATGAATAAAATCCGAACATTTTAATGTTAAATAGAGTGGAGTTTGCTTATTGTTTGATGATGTACCTGGGCATTTGATTAATAATCGCCATTTTTTACTTTTTACACCTTCAACTATTTTAACATGAGTAAATTGAAAACGATCAGATACTAAACGTCGATCGTTACCAACTAAAATAAAGAAAATTGATAAGCACAATTTATGATACGTAAGATGATGGAAAAAAGTTTAACGATAACGTTTTTTTTTTCTATAATGCTAAGTACTTAGCTCTAATATAGATAGTGGTTTTAATAAAAACCAGACATGATAGGCTTCAGGTCATTGAAGATTTTGTTGGCAGAGATGAAACTGGTCTCAGTAGACTGGTTTATCTGAAACTCAAAGTACCACTGGGTTGATGAGTTGTCATACTATAACATCTTTGATGTAGTCAACTTTCAGCAAAGTTGAAGTAGACATCTTCTATGAGATAATAAGAGGAAAAAAAAAATAAGACACACCGCTAATGACTATTCTATCGATTCCATCTCTGTTGTTTGGAATTGTTTTTTAACAATGTCATTTTAAAAAGAACAAAATGAGTAATCGCCACATTCTCTATATCGTTTCCTTAAAAATCAAAAACCAAAACCGAAAAAAGTTGTTTTTTAGCAATTTTTGGATGATTTTCGGTTTTCTTCAGTTTTGTGATACTTTCAACTTTTTAAGAGAAGATTATAGATGGTGCAGTGACACCACATTTTGTTCTCTTTAAAATGGTCCTGTTAATAGATAGCACCGACATCTGAAAACTACTGTGTTCGGGTTTTTAGAAATTCTGCCATGATAGTTCAGGGATGGAATATTGCTATAGAATGCATTTGGTAGAAAACTCTATTGTCTAACAAAACTGCTACCTGGATGTCCACCACCTTAGGTTTTCGATATTGTATTTCATAAAGGATAGAAATTCTTTTTATTATCTTAATAATTACTTGGTGGTCTTGTTTGATTAATTTGTTCTATAATATGAAGAAATTTTGTTAATTTCCAATCAACTGTAAAACGTCTTGAAAAATCAAATGCTTTTGTTTTTGGTTGAATTTCAAGTTCATTTATAAATCGAACATAAGCAACAATAGTACAATCATCTGTATTCAATGGATTTCCTTGTTTAGTTTTTGAAATAACATCTTCATAAAGATCTCCTTCAATATCAAGAAAAACTTTTGGTGATATATGATCATTAATATACGATGATATAGGTTCGCCTTTAGCTAAGAAGAATGTGTGATCATAAGAAAGTGATTCTTTTATCACTTGTCCACCATGTGTAGTTATGAATATTAATTTAATATCAGCACGAAGACATCGATCACGTGGTGCTAATAAAGCAAGACCAATTCGAATACGTGGTGGATGTGATTGATGTTCAAGATATAATTGCCAATGTGATTCAAATGATTCATCATAAGGAAAAATTATACTTTCAAGTTCATTTTCTGTACTAGTAGAATGTAAGCGTCGTAGCAATTGTACTGGTATAAACCAATCGTGACTAACTACGATAAAATGTTCTTCAACTGGACCTCGTGGAAGAAGGACATGTCGCTAAAATAAAATACCAAAACAAACTACAACAGTCATATTTAAAAAAGATAATTTTTCATTTTTACTTTTTTCAACGGATCTTGCACAGTAATATTGCCATTTATAGACATATCCTACTTTATATTTTATGTGTCGATGAATTGAAAATGTACATGCGAAAGTTGTTAATTTTCTTTTTTTTTTCACTGTATTCATACGATCATGCTAATACCATTTAGTCGACAACCACAACAAGTTGTGTGCAAACAATCAGCATCAAAACGTTGTAACGATGGTAAAGAAAAATCATTTTCGAACATTGAAATATTATATTAACAATTTTAAAACGTGAACTATAAAAACAAACTACATCTGATTTGAATAATATTGTCATATATGTCTATTTTATAAGTAGATTAGATTGATATACTGAGAAAATATTAATAAAATTCTTCTATTCAATATTTTAAGAACAAAATAAAAAATAATTAAATGTGTCTCAAAAAATACGTCATTGATAAGTCATTCAATTTGAGTAATCTTTCGTTTATATGACGATTAGATCAGATTATTATTATTCGTACAAGTCCATTGATTAATAATTTTATTATTATGATTGCTATTTCAATTAAAAGTATCCAATATTGTTCATCAAGTAATCCAACATCTGAGTACTTTTTGTTTTTTTATCATTAATTTTTAAAACATATAATTGAAAAGCGTCACGGCAGTCATGCATGAGCATGACAAACAAACGCTATATCATATATTTGCAGAACACAAAAGAAAGCGAGTAATTTTCTTGCTCTTTATTCTATTTATCCCACATATAGAAAGAACATCTGGTCTTTTCGTATGTATACAAATAGCTAAAGAGAAAATGCACGGTTTTGTTGTTATTGTTCTACGTTCTCATTCTCATGTCGACTGTACGATTATTATCGCATAATTTTATACAACCATTCGTTCGATATCTACAATGGAGACATTATTTTCTACTGAAATTGATTGCAGTTTTAATTATATTTATTTCATTAATAAGTTTTGCACGAAATTCTTCTTATCAGAATCGTTCATTGTCATTTCTTTCGTCGAAAAGTGATTCTGTTTCTTTATCTCCATCATATATACAAAATATAATTCTTACTAAATTAAATTTAACTCAATCAACATTATCAATACCATCTAAAGGAACACCATCAAATTATCTTGATCCATTTGTTTACTCTCGAATTCAATTTACACATAATGATGAACGACGAACTGAAACAAGTCAAAAATGGTGTCAAGCACAAAGTAAATTTATTCGACCACAAGATCTTGAACCATTTAAATGTACTAATATAAAACAATTTGAAAATAGTGATCATATATTTTGTCTAGATCCATTTGTGCGTAATTCTTGTTTGATTATGTCTGTTGGAATGGGTAACAATCGACTTATTGATACATTTGATAATCAATTATATGAATGGGCAGGTTGTCGTTTACTTATATTTGATCCTTATCAACAACCTATGCAAACAAATACAAGTGATATAATGATAAAAATTAAACCGAATTGGACATTTTATCGATTAGGTTTAACAGCATCAGCTGCTGTTGATGATAATTCAAATTTAATGACAATACGAAAATTAGCTGAATATATAAATCTTGAATCAATATCAGCACGTATTGATATTCTTAAAATTGATATTGATAATGCAAATGAATGGAATTTATTAGATGATAGTGACTTTTTACTTTATATATGTCGCCATGTTAAACAATTAATAATAAAAACAAAACCAATACATTCAAAACGTTTTCAACATTATCGTATATATACACTTAAATTAAATAAATGTTTTTCATTATTACGCCGACGTTCACGTCTTTATTTACTTGGACGACATAATCAATTTGAAAGTGAATGGTCATTAACAACATTTTCAATTAATCTTGGTTTATTTTGTGATGAAATTGATATGTCAATGTATTTGCTTGTTTATGGTCATTTATATCTTGTTAATACAAAACTTTAATGTACAAAATAAGATTTGAGTTCTTTTTTTTTTTTAGTATTATTAAAGACTAGTTTGTTTTAATATTGATGTTAATTGTTTCTTTTTTGGTTGTTGTTGAAGTGATTTTCGTATATTGGATGGTAATTTGCCATAACATTGTTTACAAACAGGTGCCGCATCAACATCAAAAAATTTACTTTTTTCATCCATTTTTTTCTCACATATTGAACAAGCAAAATGTTCGGCACAATATTTTTTATTACATGCTGTATAAGCTAAAACAAAAGAATAAGAATTTAGATAAAAGAAAAACATTGTTTTTAATGAACTTTACCGCCTTCAGTAATAATACAATTGCATATAAAACATGTTGAACCATAAAGAAAATGATAATCCAATTCACAATAAGCTAAACCTTTATTTTCAAAATGTTTGCTACCATAAAATGGTTGAGCACAACGAGCACAACAAAAATGCTGCAAATATAAAAAAAAATACATATTCTTCAATGAAGAATCACTTAAAAACACAAGTATAGATTCGATGAGCTATAATTCAATTGAGACTTTTCAAACAACATTCTTTTGTCTGATTAATTGGATGATCAACATAAGAATTTAATAGCAAGCTTTTGAATAGAGAACATTTAAATATGAACACCCTCAAATGAAAAATACACTGAAATGATCAACCCAAGTCAAAAAAGCGCTATCATAAACGGTCGTATTTTTTAATTTCGAACAGCAGATGAAATATTAAGTAATTATAAAAGAAATAAAAGAAATATTCGTGTTAAAGGCCATGGAAGGAGTCCGTTTCTCATAAATGAGAACGACTATCATAATGCTTATCCTGGGACAAGACTGACTGTATTTTCATTCATTTCGATTATATTCAATCGAAATCTAACTGATGCATTATGCAACGGATTCATTGACTTCTACAATCAGTAAAAATTTTATCCTCATCCGTTGTGATAATCAAAGAGTAGTTGATTTTATTCACTAATGTTTTAAATAAATAAATAAACAAAAACAAACCTCAACATGCCATTGTTTTCCAAGAGCACTAATAACTCGATCATCAATTAAACGTCGGCATGCTGCACATACAGGTATATCAAGTTTATTATGACATGGAAGACAATATAATGAACCTCGTACTTCTCGACAATTCTCATCTAATTCAACTCTATAAAAATAACCAAAGTATTGTTTTTTTCATGAATAAAAGTTTAAAACTAACCCGCATGATTTACATTGAAAATGATATGAATGATGAAATTCGCCTTTATATTTCAAATATTTTTGATCAATAATTTGACTAAAACAAACAATATTTTAATAATAACAATAAAAACATATGTTTTTTTCCTTACTGGCATGTTGAACAAATTTGGTGTGATAATTTTAAATCGTTTGCTTTTTCTTTTACATGACATTCTCGACAAAGGGCCCTATAAATTTTAACTTGTGTCTTTTAAAATTAAAAACAAAACTTAGTTTTAAATCCAAACCTTCCATTATATTTTGAAAAACCCATCTCAATTAATGGTACTTGACATAATTGACAACGAAAACAATCGGGATGAAAACATTTCTGAAGTGCTCGAATAACTCGACCAACAATAGCTTGTTCTAAATTATGTTGAATTTAGGATATCAAGAGAATATTTACAAATAAAACTTACTGCATTCGGCACAACATGGTGCAAATAACATTTGAAAATCTCGTTCACAATATTTTCGATCTTCATGCTGTAGAGAAAATTAGTTGAAAAACAAAAATGAGTATTGAGTAACTTACTTCAAAATATATACCATTTTCAAATGGTTGAAAACATTGTGTACAACTATAGAAACAAATAAAAATGAATGAAATACTTAGACTTGAGAAAATATTCTTAATAAGGGAACTATCCTATGTGTAATTCGTTGTTTGTGCTCATATTAGACCTGTAAGGAAATCTCGGTAAAATTAGAAAAAAAACCTAGAAGGTCTCGTCCTGTTCTACCTTTTGAGGCAACTTATGGACATTGTGTACTGAAGTTTTGTTCATAAATAAGACTAACGATCTTTAGAATATCTTGAAAGTTTTAACCGATAAAGAATGCTTTTTTTTGGCGCGATATTGAATTTACAAGTAAACTCATTATTTGTTACGTGTCTGTCGCAAACTACTATTTTTTTTGGAAACTGGATATCTCGACAAAGATACATTCTAATGATTATTAGATCTATCTACGGACAGAGTTTCAGGTTAGAATTTCGTCATTTGATAGCCCAGTAAATATCTGAACATAAGTAGAAAACTCATTGCATTCTAGCTGTAACTCGGCTCTAAAGACTGATGACAACGAGCCCTTACTGACTTTTTCTATTCTTAGCGAGATTTCTCTATGAATTCAATATGTATTCAAACAATACTTTGCAGTTCAGGCTAGTTTCCTTGTCAAAATTCACTATATTCTCTTGATCTTTATGTATAAACGATTCTTTGCAACTATAAAAAGAATGGTTATATTCGATTTTAACATACAATCAAAAATTTATAGCAGACTAACAAATAATATTTTCTTATTTCTTTTAACTTATTGCTGAAGTCCGACTTAAAATACAACAATCTCGATCAAAAAATAAAAAACACTCAGATTGATCTTTCGCTTGACTCAGTTATACTCATTTCTGACAATCGAATTTTTGAAGATTAAATTTTTGCATAGTTAAAATTACAAAACATACACGAAACAATGTGTGTGCCAAATATGACCAGCAGCGTTGACAATTTGTTCATTGGTAGCGAATGATTGATGACAATTGGCACATACGTTATCTGACAACATGAGACTAAAAATAAAAACAAATAAAATATAACATCATATAAAAATATTTTTTTATTTTCTTGTTCTTCTATCTATAACTACCAAAACATATTGATCGGTTTAACATGATTATTATCATTTTTTTGATTAGGTTGACCTGTATTATTATTCTTTTGTTTTTTCTTATCAGAACCTTCATTGTCCAAATCAATTTTTTCAAGTAAATTATTTAATAAATCAATACTAGCAGATAGATTATTATTATTATTTTTGGTACTTGATACTCGTCGAATTTCTTGATTATTAGTTAAAGATCTTGGTGACGAATTTATTGAAACAGACTTATCAGCATCATTTGATATCGATAGTAAATCAGCAAGCGCGTGATTAAGTTGTGCTTCTTTAGCAAGTAATTCATTAAAACGAACTTCATGTCGTTTTCCTAAAATTAATGCAGCTTCATCAATATTAGTACATCGTGTTAACATTTGTATAGGTTGATGATTATTGTTGTTCACAGTAATGTTGAATGATGATGGTGGTAAATCTTGTTTATAATGATCTATATCCAATGTTTCATAGATTTGTTCGTCGTTTTTTTCTTGTTCTTTATCTTCGGTGAGTTGCTGTGAATGTATTTCCACTGCAATCGTTTGATTGTCACTATTGATCGAAGGAGAAATTGACGAACAGACGTTATTATTGATAATGTCGTTGTCATTGCAATTGGCCTTGCTTTTCATTGTTCGTTTGAACATGTGGCTACGATTAAATTCTGCTCCATTAGAAATAACATCATTATTAATCGATGACAAATTTTGAGCACTTGCAGAAGGTGTTATATTTGTATGTGCTTCAAATGCTTTAATTAATTGTGAAACTGATCGATTATTTAATGCTTCAATAGTAGGTGACAATGAAAAATTTGTTAAATTTTCATGTGTTGCATGTCGTTGCTCTTGAAAATGATTTACTGTTGGTTTCATACGAGCTATAGCTTCAGTTAAATCTTGTTGACTAACGCAAAAACGTTGTTGTTGTTGTTGTTTGAGACGTTGATATTGTAAACGTTTTCGTTCCATATTCTTTCTTTTTATTATGATGATTGAAAGTTTAATAAATACGCGTATATATTCTGATTACGTGATCCATATTTCTTACATCATTAGCGAAAAAAAATGTAACAGCCAAAACTTTTGAGCAGAGCAGAAAAAAGAAGAAGAAAAAGAAGAAATATGAGATGATAACAGATCGATGCTGATGCGCACTAGTGATCATCGATTGCATATTGATATATGCATACCAAAGAAATGAAATAAAAGTTGATTATCAGATGCCTTCTATTTTAAAAAGTTGATCGTTAAAATAAATACTCTATTATCAATCATCAATATGACTTAGTTTTGATCGAGTATAAAAGAGATCTTGGGTTTTTTTATTGTAGTTATTTTATTATTTCTTGTAATAGACATGTTCATCGATATTATAATTGTATGATAAATATTTTAGTCAAATTTAACAAGTTGCTAAACTTACCTATAATAGATTTGATCCCTGAGTAATTAAAATTACATCTAGAATAAAAGTTAAGTAGTTTTCACAGTTTTTTTTTATATATTCTTTCAACAATGACAAAAAAAAGAGAAAGCCGAATTTTTATTATTACTTAACGAAAGTGAACAATGCTGAGAGATGTAAAAAAAATGAATGAAGGTGCTAGAAGAGCAAAAACAAGTCAAACAATATAATATCACAGATTATCATGAATTATATCAGTCGATCAATGAATATTTAAGGTGTCACTTGTCTTTTGACACTTTCAGATTTTTTTTTAATATTAAATATTCCATCATTATTAGTAAATATATTTGGAATTGAATTTCCAAAAAATACTTTTGTATTTTGTGCTATTGCTTGGTACATTGACAATTGAAGAAATTCAGGTGTTAATTTCATTTTATTTGATTCAGCTTCTGTATCAATTTTATATTTATTTGCATCAGCTAATGAACGTTCTCTAGCTAAATGCATTTCAGCTTCAATTTCAGCAATACGTTTTTCACTTTCTTTGCCTGAAATTTTTTGTTGATATTGAATTTTAGCTACTTGTGCTAATTTTTCAGCTTCAATTACAGCACGACGACGATCAGTTTCGGCTTCTTTTTCAACAACTTGTTGATGAGCAGTTGTTACCATATATCTATATGATATTATTATATGAATTAACAATTCAATCATTGCATATTTACTGAGTTTTTTCTTGTTCCATGGTTTCATAATTACGACGAATAGTTTCAGGAATCTTTGGTTTTGTTACTTCAAAGAAATTTGAAATAGAGAAAAATATCAAATCAATCTGTTCACAGGTGAAAGACTTACTTGGTTCCTACAAAGCCTAAATTTGTCAATTATAGAAAGTTAATCGACTCGAGTCAAACTGTATATTTAATTTTAATGCTACTGCTATTATTCTCAGTTTTATAGAAAAAAAAAAAAGTTTTATGAAGGAGCATCTTCTATTAATATCCTTTGTTTGAGCTTATATGTAGAACTCATAGTTTGGATGAAAAGTCTACAAACGTCCGTGTCTTCAAGATTTTCTTCTCGATTTATGATTATTTTATTGAATTCTTAGCATATTGCAGGATATTACGGGGGAAAAAACGCAATAAGAGTTTCAGTTCAAACAGATGCTTCTTCAAGATAATACTTCTGCAAAAAACAAAATATCACTTTCTCATAAAAGCTTTCAAAATAGCGTTTTTTGTAAAAATATTTCGTATCTTAAGAAAAAATTATCTGTTTGAGTGACAATTTTCGAGATGTAATAAATACCATGAAATGTATCATTGGGAAAAACTCCAGACGAAAACTTCAAATGGTGATCTTTCTTTCGTAATATCCTGCAATATACTAAAAATTCAATAAAATGATCCTAACTGAAAAAGAGTGGTCTAAGGAAATGACTCCTTTTTAAGACTTTTATCTAAACTATAAGTTTTACTTATGAGCGAAATATAAACTTAAACAAGTCGTACTAGCTTCATCTCATTATTAATAAAAACATATGAGACCTATCAAGATAATATGCTGAGACTTCGAGTGAATTATCTATTTAAGAAAACAAAATCTAAGATTTTAATAATTCGAAATAACCAGCGTATCATTAATGCATGTCATTTTTCATCCATGAATGGACATACATTACTAAATGAACTTTTTACTGAAAAGAAAAGATTGAAGTAAAAGAGGAAATTTTAATGCGCCAATTTTTGACTCTTAGAAGTTGTTCAATATGAATACTCAATTTACAAGTATTTATCAAATAAATCCAAGTCCATATTCAATTTAATGACTGAAAAGTGCTAGTTCTTTACCTCGAATTGAACTAACATAAAGGCCAGGTGCTAATGTATTTAAATCATTTTGTAATGTTCGTTTTAAATGATCATCAATACTTGAAAATAAATCAATATAAACTTCTTGCAGTGTATGTACCTAATAAGAGCAATTATCATATTCAAATCAATGATGTTTCTTTCGTTTTCTTTTATTATTTACCGAACAAAATTGATTAACTTCATGATGAATTTTGTCAAATATTAATGTTCGATCATAATGAACTGTATAATTTCGTACAGTATCAATAACATCATCACGTCTTAATATATTAACAACTTCGATTTTCTCAAAGTAAATCATTGTTCCACCGCTAGTACCACAAGGAATATTTTTTACTAAAGAAAAAAAAATCATTGAAATTTGTTTTTTTAAAGAAAAAAAACACAATATCTATTACCCTGATCTGTTTGTAACGTTGTTTGAACAATTTTAACTGATGTTAAAAATGGTATCATAACATGATAACCAGGTGAGGTCAATGATGTGAGAAGGGCACCTCCTCTAAAAAAAATAGAAAGATAGATCGATGATATTATTAGTCAGAAAATAATTGATCTCATTTGCCTGTAATATATACCAACATGTCCTTCTGGTATTTGATGAATACTTAAAGCAAAGACTGCAGCAATAATTCCTAAAGCGGCTAACCATTTGACAACCATTACTGTAATATTTTGAGCAAAAGTGATTTGCTATGTAAAATAGTAAATAAAAAGAACGAATTGAAGAAGGAAAAGAAAACAACATGGAAAAGTGCAACCCTAATACGGAACAAAATGAGGTTGATGAGTCATCATAATTCTACCACTAACTATCAATAGCATATTGACAATGTAATAGTATTGCTTTTTGATGGATTTTAGCATAAATTTCTTTTATTTTTTTTTTCTTCTGAATTCTATTTTAATGGAAAAAAAACGAAATGCTAACGCCATCTATAGATATTCATTAAGTTTGATATAATTCATGTATGTTTTCTTTATTCTTTATTCTATATATTCATTATATTCTGGATGAAAAAGAAAAGGCAGCACATCTTTACTTTAGTCACGTCGTCACACTGATTAGTGTGATTTACGCACACAGCACTGCATGTTGTGGATATTGATGACGTTAGAGCGAAGACTCATAACCATACTACTCGTGTACTCATTTCTATTCGTACAATGTATAATTCAATAGTAAGAGAAATTTGAAGAGATGAGAATTAAACTACTGAGGATAAATTAACAATGAGTCGTATAACCAATTCTATGATGTGAATACAGTTCATTTAAAATAAATTTTCATCATTTGTTGTTTGTGTTCTTAATTTATAAGTTATATGGATCATGTTGATGTTCTTGATCGAATAGCATCGTTTTTTCATACAGCATGAGTAGAGGTGTAAGCCGATTACATTGATACACAATGGCAATGACAGCTGAAAATTTTCGATGAATTGGAAAAAAAACTTTTGGTTCGTAGAAATTTTTCAAATGAAACAGAAAACAACGTTAGAGAATTTATTGATAAGAAACCAGACGGTAACATCTCTAAAAGATGATTTGAAGCTTCAAGAGTTTTTAAAAACTAAATATCTATTTTTGTGTTACGGTGACGACCGGAATGTTCAGCAACTATTTTGGGTAACGCCGGTGACGCGACTGAATCGCTTGTGCGTTAGAAGCGACGGCTCAGCCGATCGGTTTATATCTTCAGGCTAAAGCTATTTCTCATACAACCAATGGTTCATTTTTTAAGCTAAAGTAGAACTTTTTTTCTTTTGATGTATAAATGAACAGCATGCAATATCTCTAATAAGAGTATATCAACTATCATTTGGTCAACTATTAAAAAAAATCAATCGATGATCCAGCTTCAGTATTAAGGATAATGAAATCAACAAAGTTTTTGAAATACTTTCATTACTCTATAGTATTCCTATTCATCAAATTGATAATAAAAGTACGAATACTGTACATGAAAGAATATTTGTTATTGTGATTAATGCAATGATTTTATTGAATATAGTTGCAATCCTAGATCTTGACGCACTCCAAGTTAGAAAACTAAACTTTTGAATTTTCATTTTGAAGAGTACACATCGATTTTACACTACTTTTGGGGAAAAAAGAACTTTATTTCAACTTCGATATGGTGCAAATTTTTATTCTTTCTGGTTGTAATCATCAAGAAACAATAGTTATCGATAATCTTCTAGGTCAAATCAAGCTCCTTATTAGTTATTATTTTCTATTTTAGTGTTGCTTAGCTTTTAAATAATCAATCCGCTGTATTGCAACAATGATCATGTTTACCATTTTCTTAATTTTCTTAATTCAAAATATATGAATATACTTTTTTTCTACGTTCGTTGTTTGTTCATTTGATTGGGAAACAACACGAGCAATTCTTCAAAGCGAAATGTCACTTGAACTGATTGCAACTTATATTCAAGTGAGTTAAATTTCATTTAAATTTGTTTCGTTTTTACAAATAAACGAAAATAACTGAAATGACAACGATTAATAAAGAAGACAGTAACTTGATATGAATAAAACTATGAAAACATTTCTATTATTTTTAATTCAATTATTTCTACTTTTGATATGCGATTTCTACGTGAGGAATTGAGTAATGCTTTGCAATACTGTCAATCACAGTCGAAAATAATAAGGAATCGATTACTAATAAGAAG